TTGGAGTCCCAGTGACCTGACAGGACAAGGTAGAATTGCTTCCCAAGGTTTCCTAGAATATAATCTTTATGGGGATAGATAGTCAGGTCTTTTCTCAGCCTTTCTTCTGGCTAACAGCTGACCCACCGAGCAACCAAGGGGAACAGATCAGCTTTATCTTTTCCTCAGGGTGGCTGGTGGGTTTGAACTCCCAACACTGTGGCTAGCAGCTCAATGCCTAACCGGCAGGGCCACTAGGGCTCCTTACCGAGACAGGGCACAATAGAAGACTCTGGGGTCCTTTTGAAGACCTGCATGTCAGGATTTCACTTTAACTACTTTTCTCTTTAACAGCAGTTAGTGTGACCTATTCTGCTTGTTGGGCTGTGGCAGGAGAGAGAACACCACAGGAAAGATTGTTGCAGAGAGAAACTAAGAGGGAACAGCCACCTTCAGAGAGGAAGAAACCTTTAAACTGCATCTCAGAGAGAGAGGAGTTAGTTCTTGGGCAATCATGAGTGGAAGGGGCTTTCCAGACCATGAGAATAATGTGAGCGCACAACACATGCAGTGTATTTGTAGAATTACAGAGTGCAGAGGGGCCAGTTTAAAGGTAGGTGAGATAATTCTGTAAGGTAACCTAAGTGAGGTTTCTTTTTAAAAATTGGTAATAGCAATAGCTACTATTTTTGTTAGATAAATAAAGAGTTGGACATTGGCCTGCAACTGTAAGTTTGGCACGTTAAACTTACCAACAGCTTGTGGAAGAAAGACATGGATGTTTGTGGAAGGATTTACGATCGTGGAAATCCTCTGTAGGGTCACTGTGAGTTTGAACTGACTCGAAGGCTGGGGGTTTGGATTTTTATTTTTTTACACCACTTCCTATCACTCAAGTACTGTTGTAAATACTTTACATATTTTCATTAACTTCATCCTCACACCTAATTATTATCTTTACTTTTCCAAATGAAGGAAAAGTGAGGTTAAATAATTTGCTCAAGAGGGGGGAGCTGGAATTTAAGCTCTGGAAGTCTGATTTCAAACGTCCTATTATCCATATAAGTATTTACCTGTATTATCTCATTAAACTCTCACTTTTTTCTGAGGATGAAACTATCGTTATATCCATTTTGTAGATGAAGAAAGAAGAAGGTTACTAAATTTGCCTAAAGTCACACATCGAGTAAGTAAGAGAGATGTTTAAACTCAAGCAGTCTGACACGTGAGCTGCTATTTTTGTGGTTGGGAAATATGAGGAACCATAAGCACTCAGCTAAGAAATGAACGGTGGGGAGTTCAAACTCACCAGCTGCTCTCTGAGAGAAAACGGTGGCAATCTGATTCTGTAAAGAAATCCTATGGGGCAGCCCTTGATATAGTACGTCTTGATTTTTTTTTTCATTGTTCAGCATATGCTCAAAGAGTTACTGAATCAATATTGAAGGCACTTGTCAAGTACAAATAATGTGACATTGACTTTGGCTTAATGCCAACTAATTTCTCGCTCCAACTCTTGCTTACGGGTGGTCAGGAACTACTTCCCTTCGTTATCTCAGTTTGATAAGATGCTGTGAGCACCATCCATTCATCACAACCTTGAACGGAAAAGGATGTGACACCTTTCTTTGGGGGCTAAGTTATAATTTCCAGATATCGTAAGATGGGTAGGGTTAAGAATTTACCCAGAGAATTTGGTCTTGTCCTCTTCCACTCTGCCTTCCTTTTTTCTTTCTTTTGAGAACACATTCTTAGAACATTACAACAGCATACTTTGGAAAACTTAAATAGCCATTGGACATTGGCAGTGTGTGCAGAGCTTTGATTCCCCACTTTCTCTAGTTTCAAACCCTTCACTTTTCAGGCTACGTTGCTGGTCTAACAAAGGACTGGGAATCTCCTTGTGCCATAAATTTCCCCCATGTGACGGCCCCCAGCAAGTGAACAGCGCATCTCTCTTTAACAGGAAACTTCCTGAGGGCAGTACTGACTAAAAACTGCCATTGAGTTGATTCTGACTCATAGTGACCTTCGAAGATAGAGTAGAACTGCCTCCTTTGGGTTTCTGAGACTATAAATATTTTGGAAGTGGAAAGCCTGAGGGTAGTAACTATCAATTATTCACCACGATTTCCCAAATATCCAACAGGGAGCACCCATTTGAGCAGCATGCACACTCCATGAGTAGCATCTCAGACAACAGGGAAAACTAAGACTTTCACCAGACAGGAATCTCTGTGCCCCAGTCCAGAAGAGAATGAGCCCAGGAGGTCAGTGAGTGAACGACAGGGCTGCTAACCACAAGGTCAGTTCTCCAACCCCACCAGCTGCTCCACGGGAGAGACATGGAGCGGCCGCTCCCATGGTTTGGTGTCACGGTTGTGCTATCTTCATAAAGTGCATTTGGGTGTTTTCCATCCTTTTGGTGCTCTGGAATAGTTTGGGTAAAACTGCTGTCAGCTCTTCCCCAAATGTTTGGTGGAGTTCACCAGGGAAGCTAGAACCTTTTATTCTTGGGAGTTTTTAATGACCTACTTGACTTCTTTGTTGCTGTTATGGGTGTGCTCAGGTTTTCTACTTCAGTCTGTGTTTCTTTACATAGGCAGTGTTGTGTTATCTGGGTAGACTAGAGAGACAAATTCATGGACACTCATATGTGCATAAGAAAGAGGTTTGTATACAAGACCAATTGAATGTTGAGCAGCATCCCAGCCCGGTCCAGATCAAGTCCATAGTCTGCTATTAGCTCCTATGTCTGATATCAGTCTGTCAAGTCCTCTTGTTGATTTTGCTTCTTTCTTCTGTTCTGATGTCGATGTAACCACTGCTGTCTGTGTAGTCCCCCTGCTGTATCTCAAAGATTTTAGTTGGCATATTGTGTTTTCACTATAATTTGACTTAGGGGATTTTTAAAATTTCATTTTTTATTTCTTATATCACCCAGTAATTTTAAAGAAGGCAGTTACTCAATATTCATGCATTTGAGTTTTTGCCCCTTGATTTCTAATCTTCTAGTGTTGTGATCTGAGAAGATGCTTTGTGATATCTTGATGTTGTTTAAATTTGTTGAGGTTTGCTTTGTAGGTCAACAGATGGTCTATTTTGGAGAATATTCTATATGTGCCAAAAAAGAATGTACATTGTGTTGTTGGGTGGAGTGTTCTATATCTGTCTATGAGGTCAAGTTGGTTAATTGTGTTGTTTAGTACTTCTGTGTCTTTGCTGAGATTCTTTCCAGTTGTTCTAGCCTTTGTCAAAAGTTCAACACATCATTTTGTCTTCATGATACGTATGGACACACAGGACACTGACTGAACCAAATGAAACCTAGTGATAAAATAGCCTTCTGCACATAACTTATTTTTAGGTCAATACTATTTACTGACAGTAATCACTTATCTTTCGCTATTGTTTAATTAACAGGAAGCAAGCTGGTTTTCTGGCTTTCCGTAGTATGCTAGAGCAGGCTCATGAGAGCCTGTTGCTTGTATTGTTTATGAGAAAGTTGTTAAAGAATGTCATCATTGAACATTAACATAAACTTACAGTTAAATAAGTGATATTAAGAATAAAGACAAGAAATACTCACCGTATCCTGTGTCTTACATGTTGCTGCTGTCTACGCTCTTGAGGCTACTTACGTACACTATGTCTGTGAGGTGGAAACCCTGTGTAAGGTCATGCATCACTCTTGTTAAACATTAAGCAAGAGTTTCTGTAAAAGGAAAGAAGAACTTTATTCAGATTAAAAAATTTTCAAACCAAGAAGTCCCCAAAAGGAAATTCAAAATGGGCTTCCGAAGAGGGAGTACAAGGCATACATTTGTTTATACTAAAATCTGCAGAGCTGTGTACAAAACTGGGAAGAGGACTGGGTACATTTGATTGGTTGACATTCAACATGCTCTTGGAAGACTCGTTTATCAAGAACTTCTACTGGCTTGAATACTCAGCCCTAGGTTTTTTTTCCTTTTGTTTTTCAGAGTTTCATCAGAAATTTATAATCTTTAAAACCAAAATGTAGCATAAAAAAAGTAGCAAAGAACCCCCTGCTTCCCTTCTCTTCTTCCTCTTCCCAGAAAGTGGGTTGTGAAACATACAGCAGCATGGTGGGTTAGATAGCAAGCCAGAGCTCTCATTTATTCAGAAATTTCAGAGCATTCCGTCAACCTGGGGCCAAAGTTGTGTGCATTTGGTACAGCAAGTGTGACTAAGCCTTATGCAAATTCCTTTCTTCAAAGCTGACTTTGGAGGAGTAGTGGCAGCTATGGATTTTAGAGAAGCCCTTGAACCCAGCAGTATGCACATCAATGAGTTGATTTCAAAGGACTTGTTTTCATCTCTAGGTAATCATGATTTCCATCTCCTTGCTTGGGGTTTCTTACACAGCTTTGGTGGGACAATATGTCACAGGTGATCAATGGCCTCGGCATTCTATGTTTCTGTAGCTCCCTGGGGAGTCTCCTGTCTGAACTATCCCAGTCCCGTCAGCCTGCAGCTCCGGCTCAGACCAGCTCGCAAGAAGGAAGAATCGAAAGGTCGGCAGACAGTCAAATCTTGAGTGACTGCTCTTGGATTGTTTTCTCGAAATAAGCTGCTTCTCCATTGTGCCTCTCTTTAAAGATTTTCTTTCATCCTCATGAACTCTGATTTAATTCCTTTACGACTTCCTATTGAGTATCCTAAGGAGTCCAAGTCCTCTTTTTCTTTTTTCTTTTGTGTTGGAAATACAAGATAACATTGAGACAATTTTGAGGACAAACGATAAAAATGAAGAAATTAATGAAAAAGATCCTTCCAGGTTTTAATCTCTACCTATATCCAACAATTAAATTATTGGACGTTCATTTTATTTACCTCTTTCTCTTTCATCAGTGTCTAGACCACACACAAAAAGTTTAAAAGTTAAGTTATGGAATGTTTTCATTTTCATAGGCTGCACTTTTCAGGTAACATTATATCAGAAGCCCCTTTCTTGTGTTAAAAAATAATTTTCTCTCTCTTTTTTTAAAAAAACTATTGAGGGGAGAGTGTGAAGGCAGTCCCCCACTATCACAAATTATGCAGTTGAGTTTCTCACATTTGGTGAAATAGCAGGGTCGGCACATCTGGAGTGCAAAAGACTTTAAGCCTCACCCTGGGAAAACCACCTTCCTAATCATGGTATCTCCCCTGCCAGGTAAGTATTAAAGAATAATTTTGAAAGACATAAAAGTGTGGCATTTGGAAGCATGGGGTTTTGTAGGAGAAATAAGGCACATAGGAAGTAAAACTCTCAATTCTTAGATGGTTTGATTGTTTCCACCTGAACGGGAAGGAACCTGGGTGATGTGTGGGTTATGTGTTGAGCTGCTAACCACCAGGGCAGGAGTTCAAAATCTCCAGCTGCTAGGGAGGAACATGGGGCTTTCTATGCCTGTAAAGGGTTACAGTCTGGGAAAAACACAGCAACGCTTCTACTTTTCTTAGAGGGTTGCTGTGAGTCAGGATTACTCATTAGAGGATTTGTTTTTGCCTTTTTACCTGGAGTGGCTGAAAGGAATGTAAAAGATGTTAAAATACCCCAAGGAGGAAAAAGTTGCTGGTAATGTGACCTGATGCAAAAGCCAGGCTGGTTACACAATATGGGTGGTAGGAGGCCATGACCCTTCAAGAGGCTCAAGACTATGTGTACATAAGCGGAAAGTCTAGGGTGAAGAGTTCATTGAACTTTCAAAAAATAAACCAAATTTTATTTCTTTTAGTCTTATTGAGAATATACACTGCCAAGCACACCTGATCCAACAATGTGTACACATAGAATTTAATCACATTACTTGCATTCTTCAAGTTGTGCAACCACTCAAATTTCCTATCCAATCTTTCATGTTCCTGTTGTCAATTTGATCCTATATAGTTCATTTTCCCCCAACAGTTTTATTGGCATGTAATTCACATATTATACAATTCAATAGTTCAATCACATCAAGAAGAATTGTACAATTATCACCACAATCAGTTTTAGAACATTTTCTTCAGTATTGGACTGATCATTATTAGCTCCCTATTTCCCCCCAACCTCCCCTGCCATACCCCCAAGGGACCATTAATCTAGTTACTGTCTGTATAGATTTCCCTATCTTGGATTTCATATACAGAAAAACATTTCATACGCAGAAAAATATTTCATATACAGAAAAACAAAAACTAACAAGAATAACAAAGTAAAACAGATAAAAACGTCAATAGATAAGAAATGAGAAAATATTAAAAACTACAACGAATTTAAAGGGATCATAAGGAAGATGATACGATAGGGTACTAAATTTCAATCTAACTATATCTGCAACAATTCCCTGTCCAGTGCATTCTGCATGTTAGCAAGGTATTCCCATCCCTGGTCCATTGTAAGAGGAGATTCCCCAGGGGCTTAAGAATTTCCCCTTCACTTTTTAAACAGATAGTTCTGAAAAGAGTACCATGCTCAAGACAGGCACTGTTGATGAGTGAAGTTAAATGGTTATAGCATGGTGGCATGGTGGTTATGAGTTGAGCTGGTAACCACACTTCAGCAGTTGGAAACCACCAGCCATTTCAGGAGGAAAGACAGGGCTTTCTACCTCTGTCAAGAGTTACAGCCTCAGACACTTGCAAGGGTAGCTTGACCCTGTCCAGTTGTGTCCTTATGAGTGTCAAGCCTCTGGTGCTGTTAAAACAGAAATACCACCTGTGGTTGGCTTTAACAGAAACATATTCTCTCATCGTTTAGGGCATGATGAGTTCTAATTCAAGGTGTGAACCATAAGGGAAGTTTCTCTCTCCTTTGGATCTGGGGGAAGAGCCTTATGATCAATCTGCCCCTGGAGCTAGGAATTTCTCAGTTGAAGAATCCCAGGTTCAAAGGATCCACGCTCAGCCCCTGGCTCTTCTTTCCTAGTGTAGGAGATCCGTCTCCCTCTGCTTATTTTCTCTCTTGAAATATTAAAAGTGAGGCAATCACACTTCAGGGAAACTGCCCTCACATTGGATCAGAACTGTGACTGGATAAAGAGTGTTGTATCCCACCCTAACTCAGTTACAAATGATTGGTATGTCATCTCAGATCACATCAGGACGGATTATTACATAGCTAATAAATTATATCATTATTGCCACATAGTTTGGGGGACACAGTTCAATCCACAACACATGGCTAAGACAGATTAAAACAAAACCAAAAAATAATCAACACTGGTGAGGATGTGAGGAAACTGGATGGAACCTTTATCCTTGTTGGTGGAATGCAAAATGGTACAGCCATCGTGGAAAGTTGTGGTGATTCCTCAAAACATTAAAAATAGAACTACTACATGATCAAGCAATTCCACTGCTAGGGATATACCCAGGGGAGCACCAACAGCTATATGACCCTGATGCTCACTGCAGCACGGATCACAATAGCTACTAGGAAGAAAAAGCCTAAATGACCATCAATGGAAGAATGGATAAACATAACGTGGTACATACATACAATGGAAAACTACTCAGCTAGAAAGAGAAATGAAGTCTTGATACATGCTATTACATGGATGGAACTTGTTTACTGAATTAAATAAGTAAATCACAAAAGGACAGATATTTTATGACCGCCTTTTCTGCTCTTTATTGTTCTGTGGCCTCTTCCTAGAATGTTCTCCCTAAGTCAGGGTTCCACAGATGGCTTTGAGGGGTTTTGTAAGATTCTTGAAATGGAAGATAAAATTTTAAATAGGTCTATGTGTATTTTATCTGGGAAAGAGAGTCCAGAGACTTATCAGCTTCTCTAAGGAGAGCTTATGCCTTTAAGCCTTACCTATCCTTTCCACTCAGATCTAACTGGATACCTGTCATCCTCAATTGTTAATTAAGGAATCCGAGGGTGTTGTTACATTTCCCCAACCTTTAGGACAGGGACATACTTTAAATGGTGGGCAGAAGGAATAAAAGGAAATTAGAGAACTTGTTGAGGCACTTAGGACGATGCTTGGTATTTTGGAACCTAGTAAATGGTGGCCCAATACATGGCTATTACTCAAATGCTTATCAAGTGCGAGGCTATGTACCATTGCTTCTGGAGTCCAACTAACGTTTGAATCTTGGCTTTGCTATTTACTAGCTGCGCAACCTTGTGTGAATGGCTTAGACTCTCTGTACCTCATTTTCCACTTCTGTAAACTGGGAGTGATAACCAGACCTAATCCATGTTGTAATAATTAATGTATATAAGTGTTCTGAACTGCTGTTGGCACATAGTTGTTGTTAGGTGCCTTCAGGTTGGTGCCAACTTATAGTGACCTCGTGCACAGCGGAACAAAGCGCTGTGTCATCCTCACAATTGTTGCTGTCTTGGAGCCCATGGTGGTAGCTTCTGTGTCCATCAATCGCATGAGGGTCTTCCTCTTTCCCACTGATTCTCTAAGCATGATGTCCTTCTCCAGGGACTGGTCCCTCCTGATAACATGCTCAAAGTATAAAACCTCCCCATCCTAGTGTCTCAGGAGCGTTTTGCTGTGTTTCTTTCAAGGCAGGATTGTTTATTCTGGTAGTGCCTAGTGTATTCAGTATTCTTTGCCAGTACCATTATCCCAGGGCATCAGTTCTTCTTTGGCCTTCCTTACTCATTGTCCATTTTCACATGCGTATTAGGTGACTGAAAATACCTTTACCTGGGTTAGCCACACCTTCGTGCTGAAAGTCACATCTTTGCTTTTTTATACTTTAAAGAGAGAACCTGAGGTAGATTTACCCAGTGTAATATGTTGTTAGATTTCTTGACTGTTGCTTTCCTCGTTTTATGTATTCAATGAAATAAAATGAATGATTCAATATTTTGTTTATCAATGCAATCTATTAACACCATTTTAATAGATTAACTGAGGCTCAAAGAACTTAATATTCTAAAAATGATCCAGCTGGTAAGTGTATTTAAGGAAATTGAAATACAAGAATATTTGACTTCCTTTTCATTGTCATTTGTTGACTGATCTCAGTACTCATCAGCTAACGATTAAAAAGTGAAAACCCATTTGAAGTGATCAACACATAACTCCTAGAAACATATGTGAAAGGAGAGAGTGGTTGGTGTTAAGACATGAAAATAATAATAATTTGTAATTTACCAAGGGGTCACAAGAGTGGGAGTGGGGAGGGAGGTAAAAAATTTTAATTTAGCAATAAAACAATGTCTCAGCACCTGCTTATATTTTGTCAAACTTTCCAAAAGAAAAGACTATATTTCTAGCAATATGATTATTTAAAAGGAAGGATATGAAAGCAGAAAGTGTGGAAGGAATTAAATTATAGCCTCTAGAATGATGAAAGTTTTCAATGAATGTTATAATGAAAATGACAGTAGTCATGATGTTGACATGGGACACATGAGCCACACAGAAGCAGGAAACCAAGTCAGTCAATAGTGGCTTGAAAAACAACTTTGGAACTTGCCTGAGGAAAAGACCAAAGAGGTGGTATATGCACTGAAAGATCTCTCTCGCTCTCTCATCAATATAGCCAACAGATGATGGATACAAATTCTGACTCCCCACTGTTAGCTGTATGATCTTGAACAAGTTCCTTCACATCTCTGACTTTAGTTTTCTTATTTGTAAAATGGGTATGGCAGTATCTGTTGCCTACTATTTGTTGTGTGAGAATTAAGTTAGTTCATGTTACTGACCCATAGTAGCATTTCTTTGGGCTATTAGGAAATACTCCTCAACTTTGGGAAAATGAGAAAAATAATGTTTGCTTTTCAGAAGCAGAGAAAGGGAGCAGGGCTCCTAGGCTGGTAGATTGCACGAAGGGATCTAGAGAAAGACTGAGTCAGTTAGTAACCATCGCAGGGTCACCTGGCAGCATGTTGTGGAGCTAGTGTTCTGGGGAGGTCTGCCTACAGGGAGAAATGTGTAAGCCTCCAGTCTTCAAGTATATACTCATAGGTCCTGTGAGAGTGACAGCTCTCTGTAGATGACTTGATCAGCATTTGACTTTTGACTCCTATGTATTTTGCAAAAGCCAAGATGTCTTTCAGGCCCTGGTCACTTTGGCATCGTTTCAAGGAAAGAACAGATCCCACCAGATTCCTCTGAGACAACATGTCCCCCAGCCACCCAGAAGTCTTATTGAAATGCACTCTAGGGTCTGACAACCTAGATTTCTAACAAGCTCCCAGGTGGTACTGATGCTGCTGG